TATAGTTAAGACATCCTGTTTGCCCCTGAGAATTTCTCAAATCTTCACCACTAACTTTATAGTCACTTTAGAGTGGGTATGTCCACAGGTGACTAACAGCCCCTCCCACCGTAAACCTTTCTATTTTCTTTCTTTTATAAATATTATTTCACACTCATGAAGTTGTGCCCCAAATTTTGGGTGCATTATCTATTTTTTAAATATTTTATTTATTATTTTTATTTTATGTGTATGAGTGTGTTGCCTGCATGTCTGTGACTGCACCCATGTCATGCAATGCCACAGAGGTCAGAAGAGGGCTTCAGATTCCCCTGGAACTGGAGTTAAGGATGGTTTGTAACTGCCATGTAGGTGCTGAGACTCGAACCCCGGTCCTCCGCAAGCACCGCATTATCTATTTTTTTAAATAAATTTTTATTTATTATTTTATGTGGGCGAGTGTATTGTCTGCATGTATGTAACTGCACCCTTGTGTGCAATGCCCATGGGGGTCAGAAGAGGACATGGGATCCCCTGGAACTGGAGTTACAGACAGTTATTAGCCATCATGTGGGTGCTAGGAATTGGTGTTTGTGTGTGTGTGTGTGTGTGTGTGTGTGTGTGTGTGATGAATAGATAGATAGATAGATAGATAGATAGATAGATAGATAGATAGATAGATAGGGTATGCTCATGACACAGTTTGCATACAGAGGTCAGAAGGCAACTTTTTAGAGTTGGTTCTCTCTCCACCCCATGGATTTGAGGACTCAAACTCAGGCTTACAGGGTAATTGCTTTTAGCTGCTGAGTCATCTTGCCAGCCCATTCATCTTAAAACAATAACAACAACAACAACAGCAAAAAAACCGCAACTCAGGCATGTGTGTAATATTGAAATGACTGGAACCATAGGAACGAAAGGTACTGGCAAGTGTCTTCTGATTTATGAGTGATGGCTGGGTTTCCACCAGCAAGTCACTTTGCCTAGCTGATCACAATTTCTTCATTTGTAAAATTGGAATGACTCTACTTAACCTATGCAACCGCTAAATAATACAAACTACTTTTCAGTGAACTCTAGGACATGCCTCTCCACAGGCCATAAATTTAGATGTCTTTGGACAGGTGGTTGATAGAAACAGAGGCAGTGGACCGGGGGTGGGGGGGGTTGGCATATGAAACAACAAGGAATGGTGGGAATTAAGGGAAACTGGAGAGAATGCTTGCAGCTCAGCTCTAGGTCAGAGCTTTGGAAGTGTGAACCCTTCACCAGCAGTATCAGTATCACCTGATCCTGTGAGAAATGCACATTCTCAGGTTCTACCCCAGACCTGCTGAATCAAAATTCATGCAACCCAGGCTGGCTTCAAACTTGCCGTCAAGCCAAGGGTGACTTTGAACTTCTGATCTACAAGCCTAGTTTATGCTGCGCTGAAGGTTGAACCCAGGCCTTCATGTATGCTAGATCAGTATTCTACCAACTGAGCTACACCCCTAGACCCCCACAACCTACATTTTAACAAGCCTTTCAAGTGATTCTGGTCCAGATCCAGTCTTAAGACCTCACGTTCTCCCTGATGATCGTTTTATGAGCTTGCAGGGCTGTGATGCCAGAGCTAGTGATTTTCCAAGAGAATCAAGAAGTTTAATTATTATTTGAAATTCTCCACTTTTAAATCTTGACAACGAATTCCAAATTTAAAAATGTACTGTGTGGGCTAATAATATATTCGCTCCAGCTGGATCAACAACCTCTAGTCTGTGCTTCTCATTTAGCCCTAGAAATAATTCTACAAGATGTTAGAATGATGCGCATTTTGGGGAAGAAAACTGTAGATCCTAAATGTGAAACACTGCTCTAAGTCACAGCCCAGAAGTGATTAACTACTGATTTGGACTCATATCTTTGGTTCAAAAGCCTCTGTTGTTTTTACTTAGGAAGAACTATATGATTGCCTAGCTCAGAGCCAGGCATCAAAAAAGCTGAACATCTGATGCCACTGACCTTGGAAATTGTTTTCTCCATCTTCTACCCACCTCCTACTCCCTGAGCCTCATGCTAATCCACATTCCAGTAAAGAAAGCGCCAATGGGCAGGGGAGCCCATGAGAGCCTGGGAGGGGTTAGACTCATAATATCCTGGCCAAGGGAGCTGGCTAAGTCCCGGAAGCTATGGGCAGCTGTGACCAGGGCTAAATGTCTCAGTAGCCATCTGGTCTACAGGCTAAAACCAGTTGCTTACCAAAGTGCCCTCTCTGTGCCCTGGGTTTCAGGAGCCTGCCCACGGCTGTGACCCCACCTAGCTCTTGCCCTCATTGCTTGTTGACTTTCTCTGAGCTCAGAGTAAATACCCCTGGTCCCTCCCAACAACGGCATGTCTCCAGTCCCCAGGCAGAGCCTGGGAAGCTAGAAGAGACATTCTTAGCCTCTTTTACAAACATCCATCATGGAGATAGTGGCTGGTTGCATTCACATCAGCAAATTCTACTCACCTGTCATCTTAATAGTCACTGTTGCAGAAGGCTGCTAGCCTCCAGCAGCAGAATCTGGGGCCTTACAAAACCAGATTGCTAGAGCCAGAGGGAGCCTGCAGGCATTTCTTGACTAACTCCTTCAGTAATTGTTTTGGCTTTTGTCTTTCTGGATTCTGAAGTTTGATATGCACAGCTGTACTTAACTATCTCCAGGGCTCCTGTGGATACCCAAATCCGCAGATGCTCGAATCCCTACTATGAAACAGAGTGGCTAATGACTCCTCCCACCCCGACATTCTAGTGAGACTGAATTGTTTGCTGTTGCTCCCAGACCTTGGCCACTCTGCCCAAAGATGGCAAGAAGAAAGATGCTGGAAAGTTGGCCAAGATAGACAAAGACCCAGTCAACAAATGCAGGGACCAGGCCAAAAAGCAGTGGCCACAAGGAAAAGTTCCAGATATGCTCAGCAACCTAGTCCTGTTTAACAAAGCTATGTACAAAACTCAGTAAGGAAGTTCCCAACAGTAAGCTTATTACTCCAGTTGTGGCCTCTGAGAGACTGAGATTTGGACTTCCCTGGCTAGTGCAGCCCTTCAGGAGCTCCTTAGTAAAGGATTTTTCAAAGTGGTCTCAAAGCACAAAGCTTACACCAGAAATACAAAGGGTGGAGATGACCCAGCTGCTGGGTCATGAACAATAGACTGTACATTTTGAAAAATAAAACTTTATTAAATTAAAAAACAAGAGTGGTATTTGTGTAGAACCTATGTATATTCTGGTATACTTTAAATCATACATAATACTGACTACCATGTAAATGCTATGTAAATAACTGTTCAGTGTATTGTTTAGGGCACAATGACAAGAAACAACAGTCTGTGCGTGCTCAGTACAGATGCACTTTTTATCCAAGTATTTTTCATCAAAGATTGAATCCAAGGACATGGGACCCATAGAATAAAGGGTCAATTGAACTTGCCAGTCTCCTTCATAATGGTAAGCTTTTATCATTGTTGGATGCTCATCACCATGTGTATGGTCCATGGTTGTATGCCAAGCCTTGGGGTTCCTGTCAGTCAGCGTGGGCCTGCCCATCCTCAGTGAGTACAAGGTTGTTCCATGGTGGGAACGTTATATTCCTGTATTATCATTCTTTTTTTTTTTTTTTCCTCTGCAGTACTGAGGATTGAACCTAGGGCCTCACACATGCTAGGCAAGAGCTATGTCTCCTGAGCCACATTCCCAGGCCTCAGTTCTCATTCTTATAGATGACAAAATGGGTCTTCTGAACAGGGACATGTTTCATTCAAGGTCCTCCAAATGGGAATTGGTGGGGGTGGGAAGCAAACCTAGACCAGAGTCTAGAGAGTTTTTGATCAGAGTTGAACTCAAGGGGTTCACACCTTGGTGAGTGCAAAGCTTAAATAAACCCAGAGTGGAGAAAGATTCATTACCTGCAGCAGGTCAGGAGAGCAAGGGAAGAAGCCTCCTTGAGGAGATGCTCTCCCCAGCGAAGGAAGGGCAGGGATTTATTAAAGAAAGCTGCGGAATTTGTTAGGGAGACCTCTACATATTCATCTGGGGGAGGCACTCAGGGAAAAGGCGCATTCCTGCACATGTCCAGTTTGTACCATAGAGGCTTAGCTGAAAATAAAGGCTAGCTTGAGGGGGCATTAGAGGCAGAACTCTGCCCAGAAGGCGCCTGCTTCGTTTGTCACTTTCCACCTCCTAAATATTGTGATGGAATAGAGGAAACAAGGGCTTGGGGGTTGAGATGTGGATTCAAAATCTTGCCTGCACAGCTTTGTAAGGGAATTTGGGGTGGGGGATCCTAAGGCCCTGGATGTCCAATTTGTGTGTCATAGAGAGGAATAACTCTCTAGTCATAGTTTACAGGGAAGACCCCAAGAGACAAGGAGCTCGCTGTTCAGAACTAAAGGAGTGTGCTGTGAAGTCAGAAGGGCACACCAGAGCAGATCAGCCGGAAGCTCTGCACAGGCGCTTCACCTTCATGGACCTGTTCCTTGTCACATGGGCTCCTTTAGGAAGGACTGCTATTTCTGTTCGCTCTACTACACCTAGCTCTACCACAGCTGCTGCCACCAGTAATCCCTAAACAGAGATCTGCACTCTGATGCATCTGACCCCAAGTCCAGCCACTTAAATCTATTAACTCCCTGCAGCCCTGTTCTTTCCCCCTCAACCCCTGACTCCAGTCATTCCGGGGAGAATCCCAGACTCTTGAAAAAGGCCCCAGGAACCCTGGACCTGGGCTCTCTGCTCCTGCTGTGCTGCCCTGCCCTCCTGCAACCAAGGAGGGAGGAAGAGAGGGAGGAGTGGACAAGTGTCCGGCTGCAGCTGGTCGAGCTGCTCCTGACCTGGAAGCTGCCTCGGTTCCTGGTTCCCACCGGAGCCAAGAGTGACACCTGAGCCCGGGGGATTGTGAAATGGCATAAGGTGGCAGGGCGCCCGCACTGCCCGCCTCCCGCACCCCTCGCTCGGCCCCGCCCCCCAGCGCGTGTGGTTAAATCCCCCCACCCAGGCTGCAGCTCACACCTGCACCCCGCCCCGGCCCAGCACCATGCCCGTCTGCCGCCTCTGCCCGCCTGCCGCCGGCCTCCTTGGCCTGCTGCTGCTCAGCCTCCTCATGGCCCCAGGTGAGTACAATCCCCTTGCCCAGCGCCCAGAAAGGATAGCCCGGCAGAGGGCTCAGGAAGAGGGGGTTCTGGGGCTGAAGTGGGGGAGACCAAGGAAAATTAAAATCTGGGAACCTCTGGGGCCTAGAGTTAGTGATTCTTGAATTTTAGGGTCTGAGGTCCAAACCCCACCCCATGCAGAGGTGGGACCACCACTGAAAGTTGGAGGAGTTGGGGCTCGGTACTGAAGTGGGGTGGGGAGGGAAGATGAAGTGGGGAGGATGAAGCTTCCTGATGGTTAGAGGCGCAGGTGCTCAGAGGACTGGAATTTGAGGGCTCTCAAGCCAAGCATTAGGATGCTTCCAAGTGTCAGAGATCCCAGCCCGGAGATGAGGCCCTGGATGTTCAGGAGTGCCCCCCCCCCCCATAAGGCTAGGGAGTGAAAAGTCTTTGGATGTTGGTGGGCATCCTCTGCAGCTGGGGCTTGGCTCTCCCTTCCACGGTCCTCTGCTCCCCTCCACCCCCTAGGCACGAGAGCAGATAAACCCGGCGTGTGTCCCGAGCTGGAGGCGGGTTCGAAGTGTACGCAGGAGTGCGTCTCGGACAGCGACTGCGCCGACAACCGCAAGTGCTGCCCGGCCGGCTGCAGCTCCCTCTGCTCCACGCCCAATGGTAACCCCCCTCGGCGACCTGGTGGGGACCGGAGGGGCCGCAGAGGGCTACGAGAGGCTGGAGGGCCCGGGTTCCGGCAAGGAGGGCACCCCCAGACCCAGAGACCCCAGGAAGGCCCAGGCGGATGAAACTCGATCCACCCATGCCCGCCCTTGCCCAACCCTGGGGGAGACAAAGGCGTCAGTGAGGCGTGGCCCAGGGGAGGGCCCCCCATTCCTGGCTGCACTGGAGCCTGTGATGCATGACGGGCTTCCGGGCACATACAGCCGGACTTGGTTCCGGGGATCCGGGGCGCAGTAGTTTCCTTCCTTGGCCGGCTGCAGAATGGACAATCCCAGGCTCAGAGCTGGGACCTGAGCCCCGGGGAATTCTCGCCTCTCCTGGTGCCTTGCAGTACTACCGGGGATGGACTGTCAGCGCCCGGCCTGGCATGCCTCCTCAGATTCCTCCCTCCGGGCGGGAAAGAACTTTCCCATTTCTTAAGCCTGGAAGTGAGCAGTCGAAAGAAAAGTTCTTATTCAAAGTCACACCGCCATCGCGTGGCTGGCAGAGATGTTTCTTCCTCGGACACTCCCTGATTGAGTGGTTTGAGGAAAGTCAGGATCCTAACCTGACTTTCCTTCCATCTTTATCTTTAAACACCATCTCCTCCGCCCTCAGGACTGAGCGGGGGGGGGGGGTGCTCCATCAGCGGCTTGCTGGATGTCAAGTCTCCACCAGGCCACCGATTCTGATCAGGAAACGTTGAGGATATTCGGGGTGGGGGGCACGGACACTCAAAGGTATGTAATGACTGGTCTTTACTCAGAATACAGCCCCTCCCCATACCTGTGATTCCCCCCGCTTTGCTATTGCCCCCCAAAATGCCAGCACATTTATAATTACCAGTCCTCATACACTATGAGCAGAGAGGTGGAAGGTAGAGGGAGGACTTGCCCATCAGGGATGGCTTTTGGGTGTGGTGGTCCTTTGGGTGGGCCTGGGGAAGGAAGACCAGAAAGAGAGATAGAGGTGCTGACAGATCAGAGAGGAGGAGAGGCAAAAAGAACCATCAGTATTGTTAGGTAGATGAACATCTTATTCCCTTGTCTCAGTTGGACAAACTGAGGCACAGCCCAGATGGCTTCCCGAGCCAGGAGGTTTGAATTCTAGCTCTGCCATTTCCTAGGGGTGTGAGCCCGAGTTACCTTCTCTCTCTGAGCCCCTGCCTTCATGCCTGCAAAGTGGGAATAATAATATTACTCTGTAGGGTTGACAAAGGGGCTGGATGAAATGGTCCACAGCAAGAGTCCTTGCTGTGGATACTCAGCAGAGTAGCTTGCGTTGGTAGAAAATCATATCCTAACAACTCTTATTCTGGCCCATGTATCTGCCAGAAACACAGGTACAAGTCAGGAATGTGTGTCAGCCCTCACGTGTGCATTGCACTTTACAGTTTATAAGTGGCATAGCGCCTAGTGACTACTGTATATACTGTGGAGCCAGATTTCCTATGGTTCAAATCTTGCTTCAATCCTGCATGACTTTAGGCGGAGCTCTCAGCATCATACTACCTCAGTTTCCTCCTCTATAACATAAGGGAATCTTATTATTTATTTTATTATTTTTTAAAGTTTGTTTTTATTGAATTTTTGTGTATTCTATACAGAACATCTCAATCAATCATAATCATCTTTATACCCCCATCCCCACTGGCACCCTCCCATAGCCCCTCCCCCCAACATAAGGGAATTTTAATGGGCTCATTAAAATTTAATGGGCTCCTCTAAGATTATTTGAGAATTTGACAAGTTAGTGCCTGAATAATGCATAGTACATGACAGGATCTGATGAAGAGCATAGTTATAATTATTCACCATTACCAAGTACTTTTAAAAAGATTTATTTTATTTATTTTAATTTTACATGTATGAGTGTTATACCTGCCTGTGTATAAGTACACCTGTGTTGTGTGATGCCCGTGGAGGACAGAAGAAGGTGTCAGATCCCCTGGAACTGGAGTTACGGACGGTTGTTAACCACTGTGTGGGTGCTGGGGTTTGAACTGGGGTCTTCTGCAAGAACAACTAAGCCATCTCTCCAGCCCCCATTACCAAGTAGTTGGACAGGGAGGTAGATAATGCATGTTTACCTCCATTGTTTTGCAACAACCTCATGATGTGATGGCAGGGATTACACATGATAGCTAAAGACTGAGGCTCTGGGAGATTTGGGTCCTAGTTCATAGGGTTAGAAAATGGCAGAGCTGGGACTCAAGCCATCTGGATACAGGAAGAGAGATTTTCAATAATCTCCCCAGGACCCCTGAGAGTAGCTCAGGTCACCAAGATCAACTCATGTTGGCAGCTCTGCTGTCAGTGAACCAGGTGAAGGCCAGTGGTCAGTCATACTTTGCTGATTGGCTAACTGCACCCCTCAGTTTATCTCCTCTTACTCCCTTTTCTACCCAGAAAAGCCGGGCTCCTGCCCCAACGTGGACTTGCCCCAGCTGGGCATCTGCGAGGACCAGTGCGAGATAGACAGCCAGTGTCCTGGTAACATGAAATGCTGCCGCAATGGCTGTGGGAAGGTATCCTGTGTCACACCAAGATTCTGAGGTAGGTGGGAGCAGGGGAGAAGGTGCAGGGATGTCCAAAGGTGGAGGTGCTTACAGCAGGCTGAAAAGGAAGACCTTGGAAAACACACTAGCGCTCGTGCATCTCACGAATTCATATTCATTAAGCATCTACAACATGCCACCTCCCAACTCCTGATGCTGGTAACATCTTTGAGTGAATAAATCAGAAAACAGTATCTGTGATGAATTTTATCACCTAATGGGTGATTTACAAATTAAATGAGCAAGCCAGTTTTGTAGTATGTTACTGGGAGATAAATGCTCTGGGATAAGGAAGAGATGGCTCAGCAGTTAAGAGCACTGGCTGCTCTTGCAGAGGACCTGGGTTCAATTCCCAGCACCCACATGGCAGCTAACAACCATCTGTAACTCCTGTTCCAGGGGATCTGACGCCCTCTTCGGACCTCCTCGTGCATGGCACGACATGGGTGCACTTAACACACATGCAGGCAATATACTCATACACATAAAATAAAAATAATAAAGAAAATATTTTTCTGAAAAAGGAAACAGGGGGCAATAAGGTGCCTCCCCCCGGAAGGGAGATAAGGAGCATTACTATAAATTTACACAAAACAGTGGGTGAAGACCTCACCAAGAAAGTAGGAAATGAGAGGGCTGTGAGCAGGTCCAAGGAGTGCTGCAGGCAGAGAGAGGGAGCAGAGGGCACAGAGACAGGAGAATCCCTGGGAACACCCTGAAAGTTGGGCAGGTGAGCAGGGGAAAGATGAAAGGCGATATCCTGGTCCCGGGGCAGCACATTTGGGGCCTTAGAGGCCAATGTCTTGACCCAGAGGTGTTGTACCCTCAGACAGAGACTTGCTCTGACTGACATTTTCAGAGCAGTCTCCTGTGATGTGCCCTAGTCTGGATGAACTGCAGAGAGTAGGGCAGATTCATAGACTTACCTGTGAGTGGACAGGTGTGGACACCTGGACCAGGATGGAGGCAGAGGAGGGAGATGGTAGGTTTGCCACTTGGTGAAGAAGGTGGGTAGTGTTTGCTGATGAACTTCTGAACTTGCCTTTGGTTTAACAGTGAATCAGGAGTTGGAAGGGAATAGCTGCACCCTGGTGGGAGGGGCTGGTGGGTAGAGGGGACAGGGACAGTGGCCAACAGGGCTGAGGTAACTCTTTTCACTGCTAGTGAGAAATAGAATAGCTGAGAATCTTTATATTTTCCCAAGGCTCATCTTCATGGGACAAATGTCGTAGAGATGGTTAACTTTAGTTGTGTTTGAAAAAGGTTATTTAAGCAGTTGTTCCGAGCAGGCCAGAGCTAAGTTCAGTATCTTTGGTGCCTCTGGCCTGAAAGGAAACACTTGTGGAGTTACCCTAGTATAGAATTAAAACTTTTAAAAAAGGGTACGGAGACCTAAAGGGGAAAATGAAGCCGTTACTTGATTGGCCCATGAGATGACCCAGTACTATGGCTATATGAGGTGCTAAGATGGGATAGTGACCACCCCCCTCCCCTGAGCTTGAAGTGCAGTGGCTGAGACTGGAGGAGAGATGAAACCCTCTGTGCCAGTGGTCAGTGCCCTCCGCCAAGGGGAACAGAGGAGGAACAATCACCTGGGCCTGCATAGGGGAGGAAGAAGTAGGGGTAACTGCAGAAAACTGCTCAGCATGAAAGGATGAGGCAAAGACAGGTGATGTGTGGATAGGATGCCATCCCAGGCAGAGAGAGCAGGATGAGCAAGAACTTGGACATGCCCTTTCATTGAAACCACAGGCTGCTGATAGAACAATTAGTGCATAACAGAGAGAGAGAGAGAGAGAGAGAGAGAGAGAGAGAGAGAGAGAGCGCTGAAGCCCAGAGTGGGGAAACGTGCCCAAGATCTCATGCTTGTGATTTCAAAGTGTGCCTTTTAGTGGCTAAGAGGGAGTCACCGTCTCCCTAGGACCCTGACCTTTGCTATAGTACCAACTGTCTCATCTTTATGAGTGCAAACTGCATGGTAGGCATTGTGGACAGGAAGACCCACGTTCAGATTTCAGCTCTGACCCTTCACTAGCCTCTTCATCTTCCTGCTTACAGAATGGGGATAAATATTATTTATTTAGTCAACTCATCTCAACCACCTAAGGAAGGAAGGAAAGGATGGATGGTGGGACTTCCAGGTAGTAGAGGGAAAATTCCTGGAGAGACAAATGTCCATGGGTCCCTGGGTAGGCCACAGTGGTCAGTTGGGACCATGATATACCCAAGTATGTCCTGGAGCAGGTATGAGTTGGAGCATAAGAGATGAGTCTAGAATATGCAGAGAAATACAGGCAGAGCCTCAGGATGGTGAAGCTTTGCTGAGTGTCCGAGTGGGATGGGGTGGGATGAAGGGCTGCTTTAGGGTGTAAGCTGTTGGTACTTTTGTCTAGTATGACCGATGCTATTGCTGATGGTGTCACGATTTTCTTCTTCCAGCTTCAGCCACCATCAACCTGAGGAACGGGAAGGGGATGTTTCTGCTGGACCGTGCATCTGATGTCATCCCTGCTGCCCGCCCCTCGCTCTAGCTTCTGCATTTTTTCCTGGTCCCCAAATAGCTTCTCCCTTTTCCAACCAATAAAGTGATTGCTTTCAGCAACTGAGGAGCCATGGCATCTGTTTTTATCACTATGTCCCTGTTTCTCCTGACTTGTGTTGAGGTGGGTGGGCAAGTAGGGGGCAACTGGGTCATCCAGGTCTGAAGTCCAGAGAGGTTAGCTCTGAAACTTGGGCTTGTGTCCCATGTGTTAGCATTTCCTGGGTGGATCCTTCCACCAATTCTGCGAGCTGGGTTGTTATTTTCCAAGGGTCGTGGATGCCAGCCTGGGCTCATAGAGGTGTTGGACCACCTCCAAAGTCACTCATATTCACCATTGGGTGGTGCTGCACGTCTGTCTGCCAGACACTGTGCTGGGAGACTCACTCATGAGGTCTCCTGGCTTCTCAGAACCCTCCGTAGTTAGTAACAATCCCAGGGTCTAGGAAAATGACTCAGTGAAGTGCCTGGCACACAGCATTCAGATCCCTAGCACACCTGTGTCAAAAAGCTGTGTGCGGGTATAGGGGTGGATCTGGTTAATCCGCAGATCTCGCTGGCCAGGTTGTCTAGCCAAGCAGTGAGCGCTGGGTTCAGTAAGAGACCCTGTTTCAAAAACTAAGGCGGAGGGGCTAGAGAGATGGCTCAGTGGTTAAGAGTACTTGCTGCTCTTCCAGAAGACCTGGGTTTGGTTCCAAGCACCCACATGGTGGCTCACAACCACCCGCACGCACATACTGCACATATATACACTCAGGAATACACATACACATAAAATATATTTTTTAAATTAAATAAAGATGGAGAATGTCAACCCTGAAATTTAAAAAGAAAATTAATCCAGGCATGGTGGCACATGCCTTTAATCCCAGCACTCAGGAGGCAGAGGCTGGTGGATCTCTGTAAGTTCAAGGCCAGCCTGGTCTGGCAAGACTGTTTTAAAAAAATACATTTTTTTGGAACTGGAGAGATGGCTCAATGGTAAGAGCACTGGCTGCTTTTGCAAAAGACCTGGGTTCGATTCCCAGAACCCAATAGCATCTATCAAACAGCCATAGCTCCAGTTCCAGGGGATCTAATGCCCTGCTCTGACCTCTGTGGGCATTGTATGCATGTGGTGCATTTATATACATGAAGGTAACCCTATATACACATAAAATAAAAAATATGTTTGTTTTTTTTTTTAATTCAAGACTGGGGAGATGGCTCAGCGTTAAGAGCACTGACTGTTCTTGCAGAGGACTCAGGTTTGATTCCCAGCAACTACATGGCAAGTAACAGCCATTCATAATCCCAGTTCCAGAGGATCCAACAGTCTCTTCTCACCTCAGCACTCACTGCAGGACATGGGTGCACTTACATACATGCAGGCATAACACTCATACACATAAAATAAAAACAATTAAAAAATTTTTAAATTTATTATGTGTGCGTGTGCATGAGCATCAAGGCACACGTGGAGTTCAGAGGACAACTTGCAGGAACTGGTTCTCTCCATCATGTGGGCTCAAGGGCTTGAATTCAGGTTGTCAGGCTTGGTGGTATGCACCCTTGCCCACTGAACCATCTCACTAGCAGCCCTGAGATCTTAAAGCAGTCCCTGCCCATCTTTGTGCCTCATCTATCTCTCTTGAAGCAACTGAGCAGATCATCTCCATGTTTTCTTCCTCCGTCTCTAGGTAGTAATAATTGTTGTTGCTTAAGGCAAACCAAATGAGTCCAAAATCAGCGTTCTTCAGTCCCCTCCCCACGTGACAGGAAGACATGACATAATCTTACAGAGGAAGTCTTTCAAAAAAACTCCCTGTTGAGGAGTGGGGCTGGATAAATGACTCCAATTAAGAGTACTGGATACTCTTGATCGCTAAACATAGTCACAATTGGACTTGTTGATGGTTGTGCTCATTCATTAAAGGAATGCCAAGCAGGGTCACTGGACCCTCACCTGAGTATCCAGCCACTCTTCCCAGCCAACTAGTCCAGCCTTGGAAGATAAAAGAAAAATGAGGAGGAACCCAATAGAGGGATGCTTTTGGAAGCCCT